CTCCTCTAACACAAAAAAAGTAGGTGCCTTTTACCTCCAAAAAACAAGGAGCCAGATGGCGGGGATTCTCCCACGGGATAGCTGTGTCCCCCTCCCCCACCCCCACCCCCACCCGGCTGGTTGCCCATAGTTCTGACCCACATTTTCCTCCCCCGTCAAAGAGGGGTAATATCACTTACCTCACCTCACTGAACAACAGTGAAGATGAAAAGAGATCCCGTGTATCAGGGGCCTAGTACAGAGCCTGCCAGACACCAGCGCTCTTTAATGCTTTAGCTCAGCAGAGGCGCCCGTGCGGCGGACTCCAGGGAAAACACGGGCCTGCAGACAGCGCCTCGCTCAGACCTTCCAACCCACAGCCCCCTCTCCTCCAGCAAAAGCCAGGATGTACCTTCTTAGGTAGAAAGTTCCTTTAGCTTCTCTGGGACTTTGTTCCAGGATATCCCCTGGAGAGGGGATAATTAGCATTCGGCCCTTTCTTTACTCCCCTCGGGTCGGCTCCTTCCTTTCAGCATTAAACACATTCTAGTTACTTACTTTAAAAAAGAAAGGAACTTCCTTGACTCCACCTCCAGGACAGTCCTATCTTTCGCCTCTCCTTCAAGGCCACATTTTTTAGAAGCGTTGTTTGCGCTGGCTGTGCCCCGGTCCTCACCTCCCACTCACTCCTCCTTTTACTTTAATTTGGCTTCCACCTGCACCAAACTGAAGACAAGCTTGTCAGCAAATCCCTGAGTTCCCGGTCGCTCCTTGCAGTGGCCGGGTTACGACATCAGGGGCTGAAGGATCCCCTCCGACAAACTGCCCTCGAGCCTGGGGGTCGGAGCCTAGGGTTCCGTCCTTCCCCAGTCTTCCTTGCACGTTTCTCTTCCTCGGGCAGTCCCCCAAATGTTGTTCTTTCCCTAGGCCCACCAAACAGCTCCTTTCTTCTCTCCTACCCTCCTCCTAGGTTCGCTCATTCGCAGAGGTCAGGCAACGAGGCGATGGCCCCTCCCCACTCTCCCCCCCCAGTTTTGGTTTATGCCTGTTTTTCCAGCATAATTATGAATAGCGCCCCCCTCCCTCTAAGAGTAACAATGGACCATCCCCTTATCAATTTCCATTTGTATGTAGATGACTCGGAATTGAGGCAATAAAACCTAGTGCCCCGAGGGGGGGGGCCCTGGAGCCAGCCCCTAACATTAAATCCTGTTCCTCTGCCCTCTAGCCCCAGAGCCCCTGGGCAGATACGGTAACCTCACTGCTCTGAAGAATCCTCAACAAAAGAGGAACAATGCGGGCGGCGCCTGTGGCTCAGTGAGTAGGGTTCCGGCCCCATATACCGAGGGTGGCGGGTTCAAACCCGGCTCCGGCCAAACTGTAACAAAAAAATAGCTGGACACTGGGGTGGGCACACCTGTAGCCCCAGCTACTCGGGAGGCTGAGGCAAGAGAATCGCCTTAGCTCAATAGCTAGAGGTTGCTGTGAGGTGTGACATCACTGCAGGACAAAGTGAGACTCTGTCTCTTAAAAAATAAAAAAAAGGGGAATAATGTTACCCTGGTTTTCTTTACTAGTGAGCAGTTAAATGAGTATATGTAAAATCATTAACATGATGCCACCACATGTTTAAGTGGTTGGTGAATTTAGCTTTTATTTCTTCCTCTAGCCCAGACCTGTCTCCTGAGTTCCAGACTTAGGAGGGGAGAGTAGAGTTCCATAGGGATGTGGGGGTGGGGACCAGCAGGAGTGACAGTTTATGCGGGTCTCTTATCACTTCTCAATGCTCTAGACATCCATTTATCCTCCCATCAAACTGTGCCTGAAATTCCTAAGATTATTTGCTGGTGACTTTTGAACCATCTTCCTCAAGGTAAATACTACATTGATCATCAAAGGGAAAATACTCTCTCCATGAACGTTCAGACAGACGCTGTAGAATTATGCTTGAAACACTAGCTGGGGATACATCACCGAGTGGTTAAAACGATAATAGTTTTTTGTGTGTTTTCTCACATGAACCTTCATCATCTAGGTTTTAGAATTTCATTTTCATGTGACATGTAGCATAACACCAACATTTTGCATTCCATAAACTGCTTCCTATTTTATTTTTAGCCCAGGACCCTTCCTCCTCTGGATCTTCTCAAAGCCTATGGGAGAATCACAGCGTTTGTGCAAGCCCAGAGGCCTTTTTCCTTTCCTTCACTCATCACTGCTTGTTCCCCGAAACCTTTCCACTTAACAGGAATTCTGTTTCTTCTTTAAGACCCACTTTATAAGGTAATTCTGTCAGAAAGCTATATTCTCCCAGACAGAAAAATCTTCCTATTCCATATTTTGTTCTGTTTTGGGTTATAATTAAATGCCCACGTGCCATTGTACCCCAGGGTACTCTACAGGTACCCTAATTCCTAGTTTCCTGATGGCAGAAGTGGGACTCACCCTTCCTTTTCCTCCTCAGGGCCCAGCCCTCTGATGCCTTAGTCAATGTCCACTGAGCATTTGCTGTGCCAGGCCTACTCGGTGGGAACTATTATTACCTCCATGTCGTAGCTGGGTAAACTGAGGCATGGACCAGTTATGCAAATTGCCCAAGACGGCCCAGCTGGTAAATGGCAGAAGTGGTCTGTTATTGAGACTGAATTTTCTGGCTGAGCTTAGGGTTTCGTTTTGTTTATTTAGGAGGAAACGTGGCTCCAGAGCCTGAGCTTTTGACCTCAGCTCTAAATTTTTGTTGAAATTAGGAGAAAATAATCTTATCTAGGAAGAGATACTTGCTCGCAGTTTCCCTCGTCACTCTGTACTTCTCCCACTGTAACGCTCACTCATCTCTGTGCTCCCCTGCTTTTCATCCTTTCACAAGATGAAATACCTCCTAGGCTTCTTTGGGGAGATTCACAAGAGAGCTTTAAAAACGGGGATTATGGCTCGGCGCCTGTGGCTCAAGTAGCTAAGGCGCCAGCCACATACACCTAAGCTGGCGGGTTCAAATCCAGCCCAAGCCCGCCAAAACAACAATGACGGCTGCAACCAAAAAATAGCCTGGCATTGTGGTGGGTGCCTGTGATCCCACCTACTTGGGAGGCTGAAACAGGAGACTTGCTTGAACCCAGGAGTTGGAGGTTGCTGTGAGCTGTGATGCCAAGGCATTCTACCCAGGGGCATAGCTTGAGGCTCTGTCTCAAAAAAATAAATAAATAAAAATTAAAAAAAAAAACGGGTATTATTTTATTGTTGTTACACGTATTATTAACACTGTTGTATCTGAATTCTGCATGCGATAATGTTTCTATGGAAAAGTTTTGAATTTTAAAATGGGATCCTAGGGCCTTGCACAGTGTCTGACGCCTGTAATAGCACTCTGGGAGGCAGAGGTGGGTGGATTTCTTGAGCTCAGGAATTTGAAACCAGCCTAAGCATGAGTGAGACCCTGACTCTAAAAAATAGCCAGGTGTTTTGGCGGGCGCCTGTAGCCCCAGCTATTTGGGAGGCTGAGGCAAGAGGATCATGTGAGCCCAAGAGTTGGAGGTTGTTGTGAGCTATGACAGCACTGCACTCTACCAAGGGCGACAATGTGAGACTCTTATCTCAAAAAGTAAATAAATAAACAAATAAATAAAACAGAATGGGATTCTAAGAGACAGGCTCTTGTCTGCCTTGGTCCCTACCGATGCTGTTCTGTGGAGGGTTCTGGAAGACCTGAGTTCCCATTGCTCTATCTGTTGGCAGGAGGCCTGACACTCCTAGTTACAAGCTTTGTGGCATGGGACTAGAGGAGGGACAGGTCCAGGGGCTGAGGAAGCTGAGGAACTTGCTGGAGAAATGCGTGCCCTGTCCCTCAGGCACACAAACTAATTTCCCACATTATGTTTTTCCCTAAATCCTGGTTTTCCTTATATCAGTGCCAAGGTTCAGCCTACGAGCTAGTCTTCCCACCACCACGTCCAGCAGAGCACCCTCCTTCTTCCTTCTCCTCCAACTCCAAATTTTTATTATTGTTATTATTATTTGTAGAGACAGAGTCTCACTTTGTCCCCCTCAGTAGAGTGCAATGATGTCACAGCTCACAGCAACCTCCAGCTCTTGGGCTTAAGGCGATTCACTTGCCTTAGCCTCCTGAGTAACTGGGACTACAGGCACCTGCCACCATGCTCGGCTATTTTTTTGTTGCAGTTTGGCCAGGCCCAGGGTTTGAACCTGTCACCCTGGGTATATGGGGCTGGCGCGCTACCCACTGAGCCACAGGTGCCGCCCACCTCCAACTCCAAATTTAAGTCAATAGCTCTGCTTAGCCTGCCTGAGAGTTAATTGTGGAAATCAAATGAAATGCTCCGTAAACTCTAGAGATGTTCATGGTTATTCAGCATATGGGGGGGGATGAGCTTGGTGGTTAAGGGAGTATCCCATTAAAGCATTTGACTTATGATTTAGTAATACTGATTTAACTTATTATCTAGCACCACTAATTAGTTCATAACATCATTAAGTATACCCTCCAATAATATTTATCTGCTTATTTCTTTATTCCTCCTAAGAACCCCCAAGCAATAGGTACTCTATTTTCCTCCATTTTACACATTCTGAAATTAAAGTTAAAAGACTGAGTAATCTCCCTGCCCGAGGTCATCCATTTTACAAAAAGGCAGGGCTGGAAGTCAAAGTTGATGCCAAGTCTTTGTGGTAAACCACAACATACAAGATTGCACAGACAACAGATGCCTCGTATCCCTTCTCTAGTTTACAACAAGAGAAGGGGCTGTTTAAATTGGCTGTTTCCTTTCACTGTCCATTTTTAGAAATTTAATACTTTATGATCACTAATACTTTGCTATTACCAAGTCCCAAGTGGCACGGGTACTTCTTAGTACTGTTGAGTTAATGCTGGGTAGGCTGGAGTAGGCCAGGACGATAATTCCCCCCCTATAGTGAGTGCCCAAGAAAAGGCGGCCCCAAGAAAAGCTGATCAGAAATACAGATTGAATGTTTAAAATAAAGTGGCAAAACTGGAAAGTACTTACTCATTGAAGTAAGTGGAGATTTCAAAATGCCTCTCCCATTCGCCTCCAGAGCTCTTCCCTAGACACAATCCTTTCTCTGTTGCTGCCGCAGGTCAGAATGGCCAGGCTGAGAGGCTACAAGGAAAATAAGTTACCCTCTGGGTGCTGCTATGCTCACAAACCTGCGTCTGGGGAGAAGATGCCATTTCCGGTGGCATCTGGGGCAAATGACTCGAGTCAGCATTTACGTTCTTGTTTTAGAAAGAGGAAGAATAATGACCAAAGCTTCAAGACCTTGGCGCATGTGAAAACATGAAGTGGTAAGTAAACACAAAAGACTACCTCTTCCTGGAATCTGGCTCTGAACTTGTTTTTGTTTCACTTTTCTCAGTAATTTGGGTGTAATTTACATTGACTCCTCTTTGATTTAGTTAACAATTCAAACCCTTGGCTTTTTCTTTGAGACAGAGTCTGGCTCTGTTGCCCAGGCTGGAGTACAGTGGCCTCATAATACCTCATCACAACCTCCAAGTCCAGGGTTCAGTCGATCCTCTTGCCCCAGCCTCCCAAGTAGCAGGGACTATAGGCTTGTGCCACCATGCCTGGCTAGTTTTTCTATTTTTAGTAGAGTCTGGGTCTCACTCTTGGTCAGGCTGGTCTCAAACTCCTGACCTCAAAGGATCCTCCTGCCTTAGCCTCCCAGAGTGCTGGGAGTACAGGCGTGAGTTCTTAATGACTCTCTTGCTGGTCCTAGTATGGTGTGGTCATGGCTGAAAATGTATTCTAAGGGGGAAGGAGGAAGGGCAAAGAAAGAGAGGGGGATCTCTGCCTTTCCTAATTCCTCTGTAACAATGGTAATCCTGAACTTCTGTGGGGTGTTACAGTTAACAAAGTCCTCTCTCTGGTCTTCCCACTGGCCTCTTGGTGGAAGAACAGCCCAGCTCACACTAGAGGAAACACCAGTCCTGAGCCTATCTGGGGAACGGCGGGCCTGGCTGCAGCCTCCCTGAAAGAACTTTCTACTTTCTCCCCTACTGTTCCTCTTGAAGAAGGAGGGTAATCCAGGGGCCGTGTGTGCTTAAAAAAAAAAAAAAAAAAAGTCTTCTGATTGATTAAAGATGAGGGCTGACCTTTGTTTTCTTTTGTGTGGAATGATTGGATTTGGGGGAAGAACATTTATCATTTTCCCTCCAAATACCAAGACGAAAGAGAAGGAGGAAATACATCAGGAAAAACAAAAGAGGAAGTGAAGATTTAAAAAAAGGTTTTGTCAAAACAGTGAACCTTTGGTGGGTGTTTTCAACACTTAAGGGTAGAATGTTTTTCCACTGAATTGTATCACTGGGGGCTCAAAACATACCATCCCAAAGGATGATTGTAGGAGACCAGAATATGTCACCCCCAAATATATTTCTCTGGCATATTTTCAGCTGATTATTCTGAGAAACTGCAGATACAGGAGCAGCTCTGAAAAGCTGTCCTTTTGTAGAAGAAATTTATATCTATGAAGAAACCTATGTTAGTGAAAATATCTGTATTGGGAAGTGGGCTGCTGTAGACAGTTTTGCCTAACAAGACAACTTTTAGTAGGCAGCATACATTTCCTCCTCTCACTCTCCCATCATCTGTCACCACCTCCCCCAAAGCCCCAAGTTCCTATTGCTCCGGGTGCCACACTAGGTAAACCTCAGTCCTCTGCAGGGCTCCCTGTGTATGCACGTCATTAACAATGGTTTTTCTCCTGTTAATCTATTTCATGTCAATTTAACTCATACTTCAACCATTTTTTCCTCCCCTATGATATAAGATAACTAACAAACAAGTAACAGAATTCAAAACAGTCCTGAATTCCATGTCCTCCATGCTGGTTTTCTTTTCTTTTCTTTTTTTTGAGACAGTCTCAAGTTGTCGCCCTCAGTAGAGTGCTATGGTGTCACAGCTCACAGCAACCTCCAACTCTCGGGCTTAAGCCATTCTCTTGCTTCAGCTTCCCAAGTAGCTGGGACTACAGGTGCCTGCCACAATGCCTGGCTATTTTTTTGCTGTTGTTGTTTAGCTGACCCAGGCAGGGTTAGAACCCACAGCCTCTGTGTATGTAGCCAGTGTGCCCTTACCTCCTGAGCTATGGATACTGCCTGGGTTTTTTTTTTTTTTTTAAATACTATGCTATTTATGTAAACTGGCTTATAAAATGATATCGTTGTCTTTCCTTATATCATTTTACTTTATGTCACTGACTGCCCAACGTGTGGCTGAAAATTAGTCCTGCACATTACACCTTGTTTTCATCCTCTTGTCTATAGCCGCCATGCAAATTATTTCAGTATTTTTCATAACCATCACCATGATATTCAGTACAATCGAAGCAGGGCTTCAATCTACACCCCTGACTGATAATTTTTGTATCTTAAAATTTGGAATAGTAAACATGAAAAATCTGCCATTATTTAATTCTAGCAATTCTACAGGAGTTGTAAATCTTTCCAGTTCTCCACCTTCCGGCTGGTCTGTGAATTGTGAGAATAAAAGAACATTCTAGGGGAGGATGACTAAAACTTTTGTAATCATCCCAAGATCAGAGAACAGAGGATGTGTAATAAAGCAAGGGATAAGCATGCTTATACTCTTCAAACTTAAAGTCATTCGCCATCAAGCAACAGATTTTCAACTGATTATCTTGCTTCCAAGAACTTATTATGATATGTGTAGATAGCATCTATTGCTATTCTGGCCGTGATTGCTATTCTAGCCCCATTTTGTGTTCTGAAGCTCAGGGAGCTGTCTTTTTTTCTTCCGAAGTTGGCTTTTTCCTGAAAGATAAAGACTGCTTATATGTGCGTGAGGTTTTATAACTACAATGTGGTTCCTCACACAGATCTCCTGTTATAGAGTAAAGTGAGCTCTAAGTATTGCCTTCACTCTGCAGATGCTGAGGCTGAGCCTCCCAGAGTACATGAATGACTTGTCATCTTGACAGAGCAGGCCAGGGCCAGGGCCTGCCCTTCCGCCTGTGCAGTGTGACATCTTCACTGCCTCCTGGGAGGCGGGGGGTGCACATGCACTGCCATTGCTGCCGTCTTAAATTATTTTGTTTACTTTTAGAAGGTAATTCATGTACTAGGCACAACATTTCAAAAGGTATCAGTGGTGTTAGTGAGAAGTCTGTCCCCTTTCCTTTCTGCGTCCCTAATCTTTCACTTGCCCTCTAGCAGTAAAACTACCACTGATATCTTGTCTGTTCCGCTAGAAATATTCTACAGATATTCTGTATCTGTCTGAAATATTTTATTATCTCTTCCTTATTAAAGATTCAATGTCCTTTCTTAGGAAAGGCAGTTGTCTGGAAATAATATGAGCACCACTTAAAACAGATATTAACTGAGAAATCCTTTGGTAAATTGATCGTTGAGATTGTTCCAAACATTTAGATGTTTGAAATGGTGTTAACACACAACAGTCTGCAAAAAGAGGTAGGCCAAGCGGTCCCCATGGTGTGGCACTCTAAGGAAATGGCTTGTGGCCCACAGCTGCCTGATGGAGACCACTCACACTTCCCTATTCGCCGAGTATTGATGATGTGGACAGAAGCTAGAGCTGCGATGCTGGGAAATAAGTGAGTCATTAGATCCTATGGCTTCAGCGCCAACAGGCTTGGGTTTAAATCCTGATTTAGAGGCTGGGGGCAGTGGTTCACTGAGGCTGAGGCGAGTGGATTGCCTGAGCTCACAGGTTCAAGACCAACCTGAGCAAAAGTGAGACTTCTCTCTAAAAATAGCCTGGCGTTGTGGCCGGTGCCTGTAGTCCAAGCTACTTGGGAAGCTGAAGCAAGAGAATCACTTGAGCACAAGAGTTTGAGGTTGCTGTGAGCTATGAAGCCACAGCACTCAACTAAGGGCAAAAAAGTGAAACTCAGTCTCAAACCCCCCACCTCCCAAATCCTGATTCAGTCACTTGTGACTGCATGAGTTTGGTGGTCACTTAATTCCTCTGTGACTTGCTCTTCTCATTTGTAAAATGGTGACAATAATTACTATACAGATGCAAAGATTAAATGGGGAAATATACCCAGAGTATTGGGCACACAGGAGTATATGATAAAATATCTCTGTATCATTAACCACGGCCTATTGGTTCAATTCTCTGTTTCTGTTACTCAATAAATAGTTATGACAGGAACTGTTGTGGGTGTGAGGAAAACAGCAATAAATAAAACATTAAAAAAATAAAAAGCCCCTGCCCTAATGGAGTTTATGTTTGAGATGGGGGAGGCAGATGATTAAAAAAAATAAGTAGAATAGGCCAGGCATGGTGGCTTGCACCTGTAATCCCAGTGTTTGGGGAGGCTAATGCAGGAGGATCCCTTGAGTCCAAGAGATGGAGGTTACAGTGAGCTATGATGACACCACTGCACTCTAGCCTTGGAGGCAGAACAAGATCCTGTCTCAAAAAAAAAAAAAAAAAAGGAAAGAAAGCATATGTTAAGAGAAAAGGAGGAAGGAGCCTGATGTGGAGAGTGCAGGGGCTGCAGGCTGGGATTTTAAGTAGGGTGGTCTGGAGGAGGCCTGATGAGGCTGGACCTGAGCAAAGCCCTGAGGGCGGTGAAGGACCAAGAGCCTTGGGGAAATACAGGGGAAAGAAGCTCTAAGTGGAGGAGTAGCAAGGAGGCCACTGTGACTAAACTCAACAGGAGAAAATGGAGTTGGAGTCGGAGGAGTGGGTAGATCATGGGATCCTGGAAGGCAGGTGTGGACCATTGGGAAGGTCTTCTGGAGCCATTTCGAGAGGTCTGAGCGAGGAAGTTACACGTCTCATCAATTTCCACATCATCTCTCTTGCTGCTTTGTTGAGAGTAGACTGTGGGGGGCAAGGCAGAAGCCGGGAGATCAGTTGGGCGGGTATTGAACAATGTAGCGTTACGGCTTAGACTAGAGGCCTATCAGCTGAGGAATGAAAAGCGGTCTGATTCCAGATGTGTTTAGCCGAGGAATGAAAAGCATCTGATTGCAGATGTGTTTTGAAGGTAGAAGTGATAGAATTTGCCCGTGTAGAGATGGCAGGGTGGGAGAAAAGGACAGGAGACAAGAGTGGCTCCATGGTTTCTGGCCTGAGCAACAGGAAGGAAGATGTTGTCATTTACTGGGATGAAGAAATATGAGGAAAAACAGGTTTGGGGGTGGAG